AGGAACCTTCACCTCCTGCCTTGGTTTGAGCACCCACACAGGGGGAGCAGGTCCAGTGGTCAGAGCCCAGGTCTCACCATGCAGAGTTAGGAAAGGGCTCTAACTCAAAGAAAGGGATTATACAAAGAAAATCGACATAAGACTCCTACCTGCAATTTCAAAATATGTATATCCAATGTTGTTGTTTTTTTAGCAAAAAGGAGTGATAAGTTTCTCTAAATGGACACCAATATTTCAGAATGCAGGGATGCTGTTTAATTCATTCCTCCTTTCCAATGAGGTCAAACTTTGTCCTTTGTGGGACTGCTTACCCTATTTTCTTCAGCTAAGATTTTATACCAATTCCAGGTCATTTATTTTAAATTAAGTCATTTGTTCATAAAAATATTAAGAATAGAGGATGTGAATAGATAAGGGTAAAGTAATACCATTGCTGAGGTGGGGTGGAGGGTAACAAAACCAACAGGTAAGCAAACACTGGCCATGTAGGATTCTGTCAATTGCTAGAGACAAGAATCACAAAAATGAACCTCCTTTAACCCACTTTATGCATTCTAATTGATTCAGAGGCAAAACCAATCATAGCCTTTTTGCTTGTTTGTTTGTAATAGTATGCAACTTCATTTTCAGACTTGCTTTGAAATTTCTTGCTAAAGAGGTAGGGAAAGTCAGCTGAGACTCAGAGTTCATCAATAGTCTCTTTGTGACAGTACCCACCTCCTTTCTCTTAGACAATGAGTCACAAGATTTGGCCTTGGAAGTAAAAGGTCAAAGGGGAACAAGACTTTAAGAAGAAAAATAACATTCATTAGCTCACTATTGGCAACTTATTAATCCCATTTTGTCTTGTTCATTCATTCATTCATTCATTCATTTATTCATTCATTCACCTGGTGATGAGACAGTCACTAATTTTCAAAGCCAAGACACATGTGAGTTTAAAAAGTTACATATATTTCTCACTGAAATAAGTACCTCATCTCAGGCGCACAAGCAACATTGGACCCAGATGGACTTTGGATAAAAAGTAGCCCCACCATATAAAAGCTATGTCAATTTTTCATGTTTATAAGCTCTTGAGAGAGAAGCATCACTTTGCTGTGCCACTTATTTGTGCATGCACTGGTTGATTCCTATATGTGCCTATCTTTTCTGACATTAGTATAACTACCCTTGCTCTCGTTTGGTTCCTATTGTATGGAATATCTCTTTCCATCCTTTCACTTTTAATATAATTTTTCCATGTTTACTTTCTAAATTTTATTATTAACTATAATGATTCTGCAGGTGATTCTTTTGGGTTTTCAGGGAAGCAATATGATCAACTAAAAATACTCTCCTTTGCAGATATGCTGGGTTTGAGTGCCTTGTTCTGACTTCAACACATCCAGTGCTTCACAGTAAGCATGATATTGCTGGATGCTCTCCTGGGACATAATTGAGTTTTTCTGTGCAGACGCACAGAGACTGTGAGGTTGCCTTTGATTCTTCCCACTGTCCCTTACAACTGCTTTCTCTAACACAGACAGATCTGACTTTGTCTCATTACATGTGAAATACACGTTTAACATATTGCTATCTCCCATTAAAAAGACTGAAATGTTTTATTTCTGAAACCCTTAAGTTTCCCTGAGGATTTTCCAATAAGCTGTCAAACTTCAAGTCTTTTCTGTCTCATTTCACACGTGCTTGCGTCTGCTGCATGATTTTATTTTAGTTTCATATTAATCTTCTGCTGCTGTCTGCAGTCTGATCCCAAGCAGAGTATAAAAGGAAATGAAACTATTTCAGAGATGCATAATCCTGGTATGTACTGAACAGCACCCATTACAACAACTGTTGGGACATTCTCGTGAAGTAAATTCATAATTGATAGTCTCTGATGTGTCCTCAGAGATTAGATTCCTCTGAAATACAAGGCGCTTTGTTTGACGTCATGGACGTCTAATGACGTACAGTCAAACATCATGGCAGTCCTATTTCTAAGATGCCTGAAAACAGCAACAACACGCTAGGAACCAGAGAGGGAGATGGGCTGAGGAGAGGTTATCCTCAAAGTGCAGGCCTGTCTTGGGACATGGGACACATGTGTCTGGAGTGGGTTAGGGAAGGGATGGGTAAAGGAGAAAAGGAAATGACAATAAAAAAGTGAAATTTAGGTTTGGAGCTGCAGAGCAGGAAGATAAAAGAGAGCAGAGCCTCTTATCTGTGATTCTTATCTCCTGAATCCTGCTGAGCAAATGATCAGCCCCTGATTTCCTTCTTGGTCCAAAATTTTTCTAATTCATGCAGTGAATTCAGAAATAGAATGGAACAATTAAACAGTGAAAGAAATTCATCTGTTCTAGACACAGTAGCCTGGTTTTAGGATTAAGTCACATTTTCCAATGTATTTGCTCATTCTGTCCGTCTCATTGTTTCATTCTTTTGTAGCTTTTCTCTCCTAATCAATCTCACAAGTTCTCTCTCTTTTCTAGGAAGGTTTTTTTTTTTTTTTTTTTTAAAGTTCATATTCTAAATGACTTTCAATCAACAATCTAAAGATACAGTAAAGAGACTTAGCTTTTTTATTGCTGACAACTTTATTAATGAAAATCATACACACATTCTCAAAATTAAAAAAAACAAAAAACCTTTTTTTTTTTTTTTTTTTGAGATTACAAGTGAATGAAAAATAACCTAAAAGCTGTACCTGGAGCAACTGATGACTTGTGACCCTATTTAGATACTTCTTTGTTCTATTTAGAGAAGTTGTTTTTTAGTAGTTCTGTTATATTAGTTGAACACAGACACTGAAACAGAAAATTCTGACTAAAATCACTGCCTGGTCATGATTAAGATTGAGTTGAAATAGAACAAATAGGATTGGCTAGAAGAAAAGAGAAAGTGACTGAAACTCAGCCTAACATTTTAGATGGTATATTTTTACATTATTATAAAATTGAAAATTTATGTTAAAATATACACTGTCACACTCATGCCTGAAAATAGAGGGACTGGAGAAGTACGAGAATGGGAGAAAGGTAGGGAACATCTCTGGTCTAACAAAGACAGCTGCCTGAGCAAATGGGCCTTTCGTAGGCAGGTTTGGCTTTCGGCATGCTTGCTTTATCCATCCCTCCGGCTTCCTTCTGCCCTTGGACCCTGGCATCCTCATCTGACCTCTTGCATTTCCAAAGTCCCTACTATGATAGATCACAGCACTGTATTATATTCCTGTTTTTCCTATTTCTTACCATTGAAATTTGGCCACCTATCCTAATTTCTTAAGGTTCTGGTTTTTGATTAATTGAAAACAGATGGTGTCTGAGTCAGGATGAAACTCACAGAAAGAGATTTAGCATGGGCTGTGGTAAGTAGAATGGTAAGGAAAAAACTTACAAAATTAGAACACAGTTGGGCTTAATGGCTTCTTGTTTCTGCTTCTCCGGGCTTTTTTTTTTTTTTTTTCTGTTCTCTGCTTCCTTTCTCAGCTCTGTTCAACCCTCATGAAGGCATCCAGTTCCCCTCCTTTGCCATTACCCTCGCCTCTCTCATTGTTAATTTACTTCATCTCTTGTTCAGTTTTCCAGGAAAGCACCTTGATTGGCCCCACTCACTCTCATGCTAGGCCCTCGTGGCCAGCTTGTCACAGATTCCCTCCTGGAGGTGCCCGCACCCCCCTGAAGTGTGGCCTCGGCCTACAGGACCCCATGAGATCGTGGCGGGGCAGGATTTCCTTTGAAGAGGCCGTGGGCAGCAAGCCAAGGCTTGCATCTGTAACCGAGGTTTGGGGACGTTTGGGAGTCTTGACGCTCTTCTGCCCCGCTGAGTGTCTGGTGAACGTGGCTGTACGTCTTGTTTCCTGCAGCTAATCCGGGGGGTTTGGGAGACACGGAGGGAGTAGGATGCTGGCCGCAGCGTTGGCAGCAGGCGGTAGAATTCCTCTGAGAATTCTTTCCCCACCTGAAATGGAGACTACGTCCTGCCCAGATTCCAAGACCTCTCGGCCCCTGGAGCGGTGTGGGCGAACACTGGCCAACACGCATGCCGCTTGCTGTGTTCTGGATTCCACACTCTATCTAGAAGATGGGCCAGCCCTGGCGAGGTCTCCTGGAACACGTTCGTCTCAGCCACGGCGGCTGGAGGCCTCCCTGCTCACACGCGTGTTGGTGTGAGTGGCGTGGGAAGAAAGGAATCCCGTCCCCTGCTTAAGGAGCTCGGAGAGAAGCAGGGATGAGTGCAAGGAGGTCTGTTGTCTGTGGATGAAGAGCTTCGTCTGGAAGCCCTAAGCAGCTGATTACTCCGGGTTACCCAGACATGGTATTATCACTGTCTGTCCTGGCCTTCCGAGACACACACACACACACACACACACACACTGAACTCCCCTTCTGCTCATGCATCTTATCACCACTGTCAAATCTTACTTTCTCGTGTACAACCAATTTCTCGTGGGGAGCCCCCCGCCCCCTCCCCCTCTCCCCATCTGCAACATCATTCAAACAGGCGGTGTGAGTGTCTCAGTGAGTGCTCGGGTGTCTGCTTCTCCTGCATGAACACACATCCCCCAGCTCCGTCGGCGTCTCTCCCCGCTGGGTACACGCGCACGGACCCGCGCACGTGCAAGAGAGTCCCCCAGGGTTCCCGAGGTCAATGTCACGCTGGGCACAAGCGGAGCGAGCGCGCGTGGAGGGAGCGTGCGGCGCGCGGCCCCTTCCGGCCGGCAGGGGGCGGCAGGCGGCGGCGCAGGCACGCGGGCCCGCGGAGCCGCCCGGCGCGGGCAGCCCAGCCCAGCCCCGCCGCGGCGCAGCCGGAGCGCAGCCACTCAGGGCAGCGGCGGCGGCGGGAGCGAGGCGCGCAGCCAGCAGCCGGCCGGCGGGAAGCAGCAGCCGCCGCCGCCGCCGCCGCCGCCGCGACGGGCAGCCGGGCTCGCGCGCAGCCGGCTCGGCCCCGGCCCCGCAGCTCCGAGCCCCCGGCGCGAGTGGAGCCGGCGCCGCCGCCCGCCGCTGCCCCCGGGCATGGAAGGGGGCGGCAAGCCCAACTCGTCGTCCGGCGGCCGGGACGATGGCAACAGCGCCTTCCCCGCCAAGCCGCCCGCGACGGCCGCGGGCCCGGCCGGGGCCGACCGGGGGCCGGGCAGCCCGCCGGGGGGCGGCGGGCCGGGCGCCAAGGAGCTGGGCAACTCCGTGTGCTTCAAGGTGGACGGCGGCGAGGAGCCGGCCGGGGGCCTGGAGGACGCCGAGGGGCCCCGGCGGCAGTACGGCTTCATGCAGAGGCAGTTCACCTCCATGCTGCAGCCCGGCGTCAACAAATTCTCCCTCCGCATGTTTGGCAGCCAGAAGGCGGTGGAGAAGGAGCAGGAAAGGGTTAAAACTGCAGGCTTCTGGATTATCCACCCCTACAGCGATTTCAGGTGAGGCTCCGCGCCCCGAACCCCGAACCCCGCGTCCCGCCCGCACCTGCCTCGCTCGGGCTCCGGGGCGCCGGTCGGCGGGGGCGGCGCTGCAGGGCCCCGCTCGGGCTGAGCAGGCTCTTCAGCTCATTTCCACCCGGGACGAGGGGCGACGAGGAGTTCCCGGGGCCCGAGAATCCCGGGAGCCTCTCCCCCTTTGCTTCGCGAACTTCGGGGAAGGATCGGGGAAAGGGCCACGGTGACCTCCGATGGGAGGATGCTAAGTTGCACCAGGAAACTTTTTCTTAGGAAGTGAGAGTGTAATGAAGCAGCCAGAAAGTGGATTTGGGGTGCCTGTTGTCCCCTCGAGAAGCGCGTCCCTCCGCCAAGGGGCAGAGGCGCTCCTGGGGCTAAGCAGGGGTTGGGACGGCCGGCCAGGGACAGCCACCCACAGGTCGCCGCTGTTCCGGCCGCTCTCGCCCCGGGGCGTTCATCTGTTTCCCTCTGCTCTAGACGCCGGGCATCCTCAGTGCATTTCTGCGGGCAGCGGCCGGCAGGCTGGGCAGGGGCGTCTGCCCTCGGACAGCGAGGCTTGAGAGTTCAGGGCCAGCAGCGCTGCGGGGCTGGGCGTGGGCATGACCGGCAGCCGAGCCCCGGAACGGTCGCGGGTGTTCCCAGAGTCCCTTCCTGAAACACAGGGACACCCTTTCTTGACCTTGAATCTAAGTCTGTTTCAGAAACCTCTTTCCGGTTTTCCCAGCTCCAGAACTAGGGCAGGGAGCTGTCAGCTGTCAGGGTAGCTGCCTGGGAGACTTAAAATTAAGACGTTTCCTGATCTTGTTTGCCACCCAAGTATTCCTTCGCTTCTGAGCATGTTTAGAGATTATCAAATGAAGGTCGCGAAGTAGATCCTCTTATTAGCGTGCGCACACCCTGCGGCCACGTTATTTCAGCTCTTGGATATGGCTGGGCTTTCCATGAAAAATACGCGCAAAAACAAAAACAAAAGCAAAACTAGTAACTCAGGGTGGCCTTGATTGATTAATTAATTGACTCATTCGAAGCGGAATCAGGGAAAGGAGTGTGCGAGCAAACGAAGCGGTTTTAATAGGTGTCTATTAAACAGCAAACAATAAAAAAGCAGATTACTTTGAGTTATGTTTAGAAACTAAGAGAAATTGCCATCAGTTTCAGGCCTAAATGGGAGCTGTCCACAGTTCTGAATAACATTAGCTGTGGAAAACCCATACTCCTGCCACACAAGCCTTGGAGTGACTGTCTTCACTTTCTCTGAGTTATGTATTATCTCAGAAATCAGTAACCTCTATTATTTATGCATAGAGTGAATTGATTTTAGGAAGTGTATAATTTTAATGTGCTTATTTGCAAAAACACAGCAATGTCCAGAAGAGAACTTAGAAAACCGAATGACATTTATAGTCCACAGAAAATAAGGAGTTTGACTGAAAGATCTACTAAATAATCTAACATGTTTCCTCCACCAGTAAGATACTTATAGGAGAACAAATTGATAAATGACCTTGTCATAAAGTATGTAAGACTGTCATGTTCTTCAGAATTTTAAAGGTTGAACTTGTATGTGGCATACTATCTCTCTCAGTCCTCAATGGAAATATGTTGCAACATATATTACCTTTTTTTTTTTCCCCATGAAAAAACTATATGACAACAGCCTTCAATCTTAATAATAAAATTAAGCTTGGTCTATCCAGAAATATATTTGGTTCAGTATTCACATGCAAATAAAATGCTAAACTTTAATTTCACACTCAAGTAACTGATTACAGAGGCTGCTTGCTTATTTTGAACAATGTGTAAAGGCTCTATATTTCAAAATGGTGTCATATAGCAAACAATTAAACTTTTACCACTTACTGGATAAAAATTCAGGGCCATCTTTCAGGAATTGAAATAGTGTGCCAAAATCTTTAGAATGAGTGAAATTCGTGAGGTTAAAGATTCTCCACATTTTCCCAAGCAAGTTCATATGAGACAAACATCTCTTTAAAAAGAAAGAACTGTTCCTTAAAAATGGAAGAAATTGAAATCAGATGAGAGTTCAATTTCATCATGCATTTCAAAGAAATAGGAGATGACTAAGAAAAGAAGTGAGCTTGTGCTCCAAACAAATCCCATCACGGGGTCGTTGGAGCGTGTGGATAATTGCAAAATTGGAAGAGGAAAATGTCAGACAAATTAAACAGTCACTCTGATTTAGGTTTTTAACAGGATAATATCTTGGAAAATAGAATTTAAAAATTATGAGTACAGTATTTCTAAAACAATAAACTAAAGAAGTAATCAGACACTTATTTGAAAGACCAAATTCTGACAGTATTTTTGTCTAAAGGAAACGCAACATTGAGTAATCTTCAACACAGTAGACACGTTATGGTCGCGATCGGTGTGCCTGAGGCCCTTTGCCAAGGGAGACCTTGCAAGGGACGTTCTTAGCTATGATTCTTACGATGCCAAACATACGCTCAGTCATTTATCGACTGAGAAAGTAACTCCTAAGAAAAAATGCCACTGGGGAGGGGGGTGAAGGTAAGGATCCCCAAAGGTTTTATCCCTGACACTTTCATAAACCTTTGCACGGCCGGGCAGGTGAACTCAGCTGCTCCTTGGGCAGCCTCACACTGCTGCTGGTGGCTTGAGCCTGCTACTCCAGGGCATGTCAGGACTTGAGCACTGTGGCTAATGATCTAGTATCTCTCCCTTCTCAGGATGACGCTTCTCCACTTTCTGGTTTCTTGCCACTTCCCGGGCGTCAGGGCTCTGCTCCCACTAAGACTCCCAGAGAGCTAGCTTGGTGCCTCTGGCAGAGGCCCAAGAGAGTTATTGCCGTGTCTGGCAGGTGGTTTTCTCCTACCTCTGGTGTAAGTAGGGCAGAGGCTGAGTGTTTCCCTTCTTTCTCAGGAGAGGATGCTGTGGAAAGGTTCAGGGACGGAACTGGAGTCAAATACTGTTAGGAAAGCTGGGTGGGAGCTAGAGAATTTAGTGACAAAAACTTACATTTTTGTTTATACCATGATCTCTAATCACCCAAACTAGGGAAAATATCATTCCTTAAAGAATAAGATCACACTGATCTTTGCACAGAGAGGACATGGTGTCATTCTTACTGACTTTCATGAGAACAAAACACACAACTCTTTAATTTGGACATTAAATTTGATTTTTTTTTATTACAAACAGTGATTTTGTATTTACTAGCTTAAATTGTACATTTCACTTATTTAATTAAAAAAAAAGAAAGGTGTCAGGGGCCAGGCATTGTGCTTAGGCAGCCAGTCTGTAGTTATGGTATAATCCTTCCAACGACTGAAAGAACATCTAGAGTACTTTCGTGGATGGTTTTTGTTATGCCAGTAATTTACCTTGGAAGATTTTTATCACCAGACTATTTGCCATTTTGAGGATTCCGACATCACTTTGTAGGATCACCCTAACTTAAGGGCTCTTTTACAAATAATGCTCCGATTCCATATGCTTTGCCTGCTAGCATCTTGCTGCAGTCGGTGAGATTTCCTCTTCCACTGAATCCCATCACTTAGTCCGATAACTGTGTGCGAAGCTTCCTGTGTCGTGGGTACAGAAGATCTCTAGAGAGGGGAGTCACTTCCTGAAGGAGGGACTCTCCGGGTTCCCACTCCGTCAGAGGTCACGGAGGTGCCCAGTAGCGAAGGGAGTCTTCACCCAGGTTACACAGTTGATCAGAGAGACCTTTTGTGTCCCTGAGCTTCTCAGGAGGAAACAGTCCATCCCTCTGGGCTTAAAGACTAATTAGCTCATTGTTGTGGTATCTTTGTGCTGAAGGCGCTGGCTGTTCCTCCTGTTCTCCCAGCAACGCTCCTTTTATTTCCTTTCCATGTCAACACAGCCAAAGTTAACCAGCAGAATTTATTTTTTTCTCAGTTAGGTGAACCTTTCTGTATCTTACTAATTGAATTAAGTAGTTTTTTGGTGGTGCTAACAACTTTTAGGCCCAATTAAAGTGACATTATTGGAAAGATTTGGAAGTGTGCATTTTTTCAGTTACTTTTTTTTCAAAATATGTTTTTATTAATTTTTTTTTTTGAGAGAGAGACAGGTGGAAACATTGATGTGAGAGACGCATCAATCAGCTGCCTCCTGCACGCCCCCTACTGGGGATCAAGCTCGCAACTGGGCACGTGCCCTGACTGGGAACTGAACCATGACCTCTCAGTCTATGGGACAGCGCTCCATCCACTGAGCCACACAGGCGGGGCTCAGTTAATTTTTCTTTCTTTTTTTAAAAATCTTCACTCGAGGACATTTTTCCATTTTTTTTTTTTGTTCAGATAGAGTGGGAGGGAGAGAGAGGAAGAGAGACAGAGAGAGAGAAACATCGATGTGAAAGGGACATATTGAGTGGTTGCCACACACACGACCCAACCAGGGCCAGGGACGAACTGCAACTGAGGTACGTGCCCATAGCGGGAACTGAACCCGGGTCTCTCTGGACTACAGGGTGACACTCTAACTGCTGAGCCAAACTGGCCAGGGCATGAAGGCATCTTGATGTTCAACTTACAATTATTATTCCAGGAAAAAAAATATATATATAGGGGAAAATGGTGATGCTCCCTGACACATTCTGAGATTTGCTATGTTTTTGCAAAATAAACCTTCTTGGCTGTGTGTGTTTGTGTGTGTGTGTGTGTGTGTGTGTGTGTGCATATGCATGTGTGATATATACTGCTCAGTTATATCAGTTATATGCAGGTAACCATACAGTATGGGGCAAAACTAGGTTTTCAATTGTGAGTATTTGAAACACAGAGTTCATTCTTATATTATTATTTAGTAATTACTGTGTTTTTTTTTTTTCTGTATGAACAACTATAAACCTACTTTTGTCCCACTCTCTATATAGAGGTTGCTTATATTTGAGTAGAGCCGTTACCTGAAACATTTGACCAAGGTTTGAGTGACAAAAATATATTTCATGGATCTTTTCAAGTTTATTAGTTAAT